CACGGTTCTCTGCCGCTGCGCGGTCTCAACACTTTGCAGCAATACCTCTCTGCGTAGAGGGTGGGTGTAACTGTAGCTTTTTTCGGAATTACATCTAAAATTACAACAGGTCATCTCACACCTAGCAAGAACCAATCCGCTCCCAACTGTCCCGCAGCCATGCCTAGTGGGCAAAGTCACGCCCCGATCCGGCGTCTGAGGGTTCTCCCGGTGCATGTTGAAGAGATGCACGATGGGCAGGTGGTCGTGCCTGTAATATGCTGGCGCCTGAAACCCGTGTTTCGTGCTTCTTTGTAGATGGCTGGGTGGGAAGAGGTTTGATTGGATCAGGTCCGAACTGAGCCACGACGCTAGTCATGACTTGCAGTGCTGAGCTGCCACACACTCGGGCGACTAGCCGTCTGTGTTAACCATGAGCAAAGCATGATGGCCTTGGATCGCGGGTCTGAGGCCCCAACTGCACCGCCACTTCGAGCGGGTGGTTGCGCACAGGGCCACCCTGTCGCAGGTGGAGAACGAATGCCACCCACCTCTCGATCTCGGAAAACAGGACACCCCAAAACAGTGTCATGGCCCCCAACTGCCAATTGCCATTCAAGCGCTGCCTCCGAGCCCAAAGTGATCAGACCTTCCTGTGGCTTTAGACGCTGGAAGGGGTCTGCCTCAGGGCGTGCGCGTAGCGAATCATGAGCATCACTTGTTGCAATTAGGAAAGCGATCCATAACCGGCGGCGAGCTGTTTCTCATGAAGCGCTGCTGCCACGATTCTTGCTGCGCCCGTTCAGCCAAGGTTGTCTGTGACTGCAAAGCTCAGGGCCCGCACTCTGAAGCTAAGCAACAGCTGGCACATGAGCACGTCACCCATCTGGCCATTTGCTTGCCCCAAAACCTACCTAACAAACACCAGCCCTTCAGAAGCGCACGCTCTTTCGAAAGGGTGCTGACGCTACAAAGCACAGGCTGCAGGGGAAAATCGAACCGCATGAAGATGCCCACATGCATCAATCGCAAGCAGACTATCGACCAATCAAGCCTCCGGGATGCTAACTGCACAGTTCAGACCACATCCGGTTCTGAGAAATCCAATCATTCATTGCCGTTTTTGGCAGTGTCTGCCAGTTTGGGTGAAACAACATCAAACCCCAGCTCCGCCCTTCTTGTCCATTGACTGTACAACCAAGAGCCTAGGATCAGCGAACATTCCCCGAGCGGCATGCTCTCCGCTCCGAAGCCTCTGCTGCCAGGTACAAGCCTGTCCCTGGGCGGGGCACGGAAAGGTATCATTGTCTTGCCATTATTAGCTTATTGTCTGAGATGGATCCAGAGATTGGAAAGGGAACGGACAAAGAAGGGCGAGGTAGCTAGGAAACATCTTGCAACACACGGCTCGCCTTGAATTTGCAAGGGATAGATGGAGACATGACTGAACGAAGGAATGGGTCATCCACTGGCTGGGCTGGGCCTACTATCTGACTAAGTGTTTGATTCAAGGCGTGCGACAAACAAACAGAGGAAACATACAATTATGATGCATACTCTGAACGCCCCAAGGTCAATGTCCCACCAACCCGACAATTTCCAGTTTGCACTGAGATTGCTTTCCCATAAACCGGCTTCACTGCAATGGAACTAGTCAGGTCATTTGACGCTACGCTTGTCGGCTCTAGCGGGCCTTTCCAGACTCTAGCTTGCGCACATGGCGTGCAGCACAAACCGATGGAACTACGCCAGGCTGCAGGATCAAACTCTGGCATATGAGATGTCTTTTCGAGGGTACACCTTTCAGGGTGCTTTAGAAGAAAAACACAAGGAACCAACTCTAGCAGTCTCCGATTTTGAGAATCAGCCTTTAGATATCTTCGCTCCATGACCTTCTGGCTTTCACGGATCCGGATGACTTTCGCAGCTTTGAAGCCACGGAGTCAAGCCCCACACGGTGCTGTCGAGGGGACAGCGCAGCTGAGGGCCTTGGAGTCAGGCAAGGCCAGCTCTCATGCCCACGTCGAGGTGAACATTCGGGCAAGGTAGCTAGGATGCTGCCGAAAACACATGATGGCAGAAGGGGGGCCAGGGACTGAGCTGACAAGGATTCAATATGATTCACTCTAAGCAATCTATGCACACAGATTTTTCTCTCTGAGGTTGGGACGGAAAGCCTGCGTGGAGTAACAGCCTCAGAGCGCTGGGAAACTTGGTATGACCTCCATCTACCATGCCCACAACACAGAAAAGCTTGAGGAATGCGCCCGTGCCCCAACAACCTCGTAATGACCCCCAGTGCCAAAGACATGGCTCACACATCCTGTGGCCAAACTTCTTGTACAGGGATATCATGGCGCCCTCAATCAGGACCCTCGCAAGGGCTTTGACCAAAACAGCTCCAGGAAAGCAGGTCTTTGAAGTTCTTGCATGCCGCGCAAAGAGAACATGGGTCGGAAGACGCAGAACAACTCAAAACAGCACTGTGCTGAAGTTGGCTTGAACTGTGGACACAGCTAATGAAGTGACATGGACGTGTTCAAGGGACTTCGAATGCTATGACCACTCCTTTGACGCGAATCCCAGAGCCCCAACTTCACCGCGTCGTAGTCGCGGTTGCAAACCTTCTGGCGGAAGTGTGCCGTGGCCTTTGGACTGTCCTAGCACTGCTTCTGATAGATACCACAGGCTGCCTTGGTGTCCGTCTGATGAAGTGGACCCATGCACAACCAGCTTGCTTTGGCTTCCCTTGAAGGGGACCCAGTCTGGGTGTTTGAACCAAATTGGCCTTAGCCCGCAACAGAACCCGCGCGGCTTGGCATGTCTTGCATTGGCAAGGAGAGTGTCCTTGATGTACGTCAAGGAGGGCAGGAACAAGTTGGGTACGTCCCATCCTCAGCAGCAGCAGCTCCAAAGCCCAGCTTAACCCCGAGTATTCTGAGTAGGGGTTTCAAAGAGTTTTTGCTGCTACCCACTGCAGCATGAAGTGTGTCAATAGTATGACTGCAACAAATATCTTTTGACTTTGCTGCGCTGGCAGGCTTAGAAGGGCAGTTGCTCACAGGCCAACTGATCAATGAATGTCTGCATATTGCTTGAGCGCCGCTAGATGCGATGTGTGTGTGCGCGATGCCCAACCAAGCCTCCCACGGCCAGCCTGGTAGACGCGGCCAAATAATCTCTCCTCAGGCGGGACGTCCTGCAGAGCGATTCTTTCGTTGGCCCATGCCGTTCACTCCCGTCTTCCACGCCTCGGCATCGCCTGGCGCCAAGCAGCCGCTTGAAGCCTACCCTGGTGCAACCAAAACTGATTGCCATGCAGTAGCTATCTAATTTGGCAAGCCCGTCGCGTGAATACGAAGACTTACTCCTGAGACTTTTGAGCCACCCGAATCAGCAAGCGTTGAAGGTGCCTGCACACCTTGATCCTTCAAATGTGCATCTGTGGAAACGGCCCAGCCTTCAGCCTCCGGGCTGTACTGGCGCTGCATTGCTGCCACACTAAGGTAGAAACATGGTGGCCGAAATCAGTCCATTTTTGGCTGGCAGAATCAACAAATCGCAAAGTCGAAAGCCGGGACGAGAATTAACAAGTAGTAGAAGAGTCACAAACTAGGGGGAAAAGCAATACTATCTTACCAGTAGAGCCGGCGAAGCCGGTGGGCGGAAGTTTCAAAAAAATAAAAACTATAGTTCTCTTTCTCTTTCCTCTCTTGACTCTGTTTTCTCTTCTTCTTCCTTTTCAGTGTTTCTTTTTTTCTTCGTCATTCTTTCTTTCTTTCTGTCCTGTCGTCGCCTCCCTTCTTTCTTTCTTTCTTTATTTCTTCCTTTGTTTTCGTTCTTTCTTTCTTTCTTTCTTTCTTTCTTTCTTTCTTTCTTTCTTTCTTTCTTTCTCTCTTGGTGGTTGGTGATGGTGGGTGGTGGGTGGTGGGTGGTGGGTGGTGGTTGGTGGTTGGTGGGTGGTGGTTGGTGGTTAGTGGTTGGTGGGTGGTGGGTGGGGGGTGGTGGGTGGTGGGTGGTGGTGGGTGGTAATTGGTGGTTGGTGGTTGGTGGGTGGTGGTTGGTCTGAAATTCTAACAAACAACAAACAAAACAAAACAAGCAAACTAACTTAAGTAACTATCTATCAATCACTCTATCTATCTTCCTTATTTTCTCGATCTACTTATCTACTTATCTATCTATCTATCTATCTATATGTCTAACCTATCTACCTCTCTATCTATCTAACCTACCTACCTGTCTATCCATCTCTCTCTCTCTCTATCTATCATTCCTTTTTATCTATCTATCTATCTATCCATCTATACATCTATCTATCTATCTTTCTCTCTCTCTCTCTCTATCTATCTATCTATCTATGTACCTATCTGCCTAGTTACCTAGCTAATCTATCAATCTACCTACTTGTCTATCCATCTATCTGTCTTGTCTATCTGATCTATCTATCTACCTGTCGATGTGTGTATCCATCTATCCTCCTATCTCTCTCTCTCTCTGTCTCTGTCTCTCTCTCTCTTTCTCTTTCTCCCTCTCTGTCTGTCTGTCTATCTTTCTTTTGATCTATCTATCCATCTACCCATCTATCCATCTATCCATCGATCTATCTATCTATGTATTTAGCTGTCTGTCTGTCTGTCTGTCTGTCTGTCTCTGTCTGTCTGTCTATCTCTCTCTTTCTATCTATCTACCGATTTATCTATATCTCTATATCTCTATCTCCCTGTCTCTCTATCTCTCTATCTCTCTATCTATCTGTCTATCTATCTATCTATCCATATCTCTCTCTCTCTCTCTCTCTCTCTCTCTCTCTCCATCTATCTTATCTATCTATCTATCTATCCATCTATCTATCTATTTCCATATCTATCTATCTATCGATCTATGTCTCTTTATCTGGCTATCTGAATATCCCTCCATCTATCTATCTAACTATCTCGCGCGTATCTATCTGTCTCTCCATCTATCTATCTATCTGTCTATCTATCTATCTATCCATATATCTATCCACATATCTATCTATCTATCTCTCTCTATCTATCTCTCTATCTATCTATCTCTCCATCTCTCTATCTATCTATCTATCTATCTGTCGGTCTGTCTGTCTATCTATCTATCTAACTATCTACTCTCTATCTATCTATCTATCTGTCTATCTATCTGTCTGTCTATCTATCTATCTGTCTATCCATCTCTTTCTCTCTCTCTCTCTCTCTCTCTCTCTCTCCATCTATCTTATCTATCTATCTATCTATCTATCTATCTAATCTATCTATCTATCTAATTCTATCCAATTCTATCTATCTATCTATCTCTCTCTCTCTCGCGTATCTATCTATCTATCTATCTATCTATCTGTCTATCTATTTCACTGTCTGTCTATCTATCTGTCTATCTCTTCTCTATCTCTCTATCTACCTGTCTATCTCTTTAACTATCTACTTTCTTTCTAATCTATTATCTATCTATCTGTACCTAAACTTGCAAAAGTGCCGCGCCTGCCACGAAATCCGTGCTCGACCTTGCGAAAGTGCTGCGCCTGCCACGAAATCTGTACCTTGCGAAAGTGCTGCGCCTGCCACGAAATCTGTACTTGACCTTGCGAAAGTGCTGCGCCTGCCACGAAATCTGTACCTGACCTTTGGAAAGTGCTGCGCCTGCCACGCAATTCAAACCTTGCGAA